GTAAAATCTACATGAGGTTGTACCATATGGGAGATATATAGATATCTAGTTAAGATAGTTGTGAAATTTTTTGTGTATTGTGGATATATATACATATAAACATATTTAAATGAACAAAACAAGCCCAGCAAAAAAACAAAATTAAATTAAAGATGCTGCATAAATTAAAAGGATCCCCAGGGTACAGGCTATAATGTGGGATATAAAGTGTGCCCTTGGTTTTGCAGGTGACTGCAGAAGTAGGACCCACATTGTAGTGGGGATACACTCTCTATCAGTCTTAACCTCCATTTGCCAGTATCACATGAAAAAAATTCATAAAAAAATCAAATAAAATCATCAAAAGAAATACAAGCTAGGAGAGCAAGATGTGGGTGCTCAAGCCCACAACGTCCCACATCTGTATGACCCTTCACTGCCTGCAGACAATTGTGGGAAGGTGACTGCTCTCCAAAGAAAAACAAAATAAGGTACGACCACTTGGGGGTAAGTCAGATAAACTTACTTCCTGAAGTTGTCATTCCAGCCACCATTATAGTAATAAAGCACTAATTTAGCTTAATTAGTAGTACAGTAGATGAATTATACTAGTATAGAGTTATAAAAGCCCAACCAAGTTATCTAAACTAACTAGTATAACTCCCAACCACCACCCATTACGTCCATTGTAACTACAAATTTTCAGATTTACATGAGCCTTTATATGCAGTAAGGTGTTCATCTGCATAAAAGTAGTCTCAACTTGTTTAAACAACCTTAATAAAAACTACAAATACTTATTGAAAACTCTCAGCAGAAACTCCTTAATTTTTACTTCTGTATATTTGTTTAATCTATTTTGATATTTATCACAAAATATTTTATTTAGTTTCTTTATTAAATCCTTTGAATATTTAAACTTTAATAATGAAATATTTTAATTTGTTACAAGTTTTACAAAATCTGAATAATTGTGAAGTTATAATACTTATAATACAAGAGAATGACACATTACTATTAAAAGAGGGTAAGCCGTATATTGCAAAAGAAAAGTATTTTCTTTTATCAGAAATATTTAGATGGATTTCACTATCAATTATTTTAATTTCTAGATCTAAATAATGTGCCTTTACATCTGAAATTGAAGTATTTTCTATTTCTGATGAATAGTGTTAATAAAATTATTTATATCAGGATTATTTATATTAAGTAAATCATCTATATATCTGTAAGTTAAAGCAAAAATTTCTGGGTTTATGCAATTTTCAATAAACCTATTCTCATAGAAATAAAGATATAAATTTGCAACACAAATAGAATAGTTAGCCGTGTATTGCTGGTAATGTTATGAAATGTAATAGCAAACGATGTCTCACTTGCCCTGCTCTAAACACTTTTCATCCTATTATTCATACAAATTCATTCTGCAAAATAAATAATGTAGTTAATCTATTAACTTGTACTGAATGTAATATGTTGGTCAAACTTCAAATCCATTACATATAGGTATAAACTTGCATAGACCTCAAATTAAAGCAATTTAATTAATTCCATAGAATTAAAGCATTTTAGAATTCACCCTTTTACTTCTGTTAAAATAACTATATTAGAAATTGTTAATGAAGAAACCAATAGACTTCAATGTAGAGAACTTCTAGATTTTGAAATTAAGAACATTATATTCTCATACAGATTTTAATAACTCTACTACTTTGAATTTGAGTAATACTTACTGTATCACTAATTTTTTCTTTAAAGATAAGTAAAAAAGTAAAAAAATAAGTGGTAAAAGAAAAAATAAATTAAAATGAATTTATTTTTTAGAATTTGCTAGTGTTAAGAACTATGACCATCATATTAATTCTTTGAAACAGATTATGACTGAAAGAGGTTATAAACAAAACACTATTACCCAACAACTTGACAAAGCTAACAATATAACATGTGAATCTGCCTTGAAACAATTACCTAAAACAAATTATTATCGTGTTCCACTGGTTATTACCTATCACCCAAAACTAAAAAAACCTATCCCAGTTACAAAAAAAAAAACTTTTATACCCCCTTCAACTTAATGGTTGACTAAAATCCATTTTTACAGAAGTTCCTGTCATTTCTTTGAGAAAAAATATAACTTTGCATTCACTCTTAGTTCACGCCAAAGGCAACTTTAAGTCGACACCAGGTGGAAGTCATCCTTGCCATAGCAAGCGATGCCAAACCTGTAAGTTCATACAGGAAATGGACAAATTTTCCAAAAAAGACAACCAAAAGTAGTTTCAAATCTGTAAACCTATAATCTGCTCTACAACTAATGTTATTTACTTAATCCAGTGCCAAAAATGCAAATTCCAATATGTAGGTCAAACCAAAACAACTATACAGGAATGTTTTAATAACCACGAATCAACAATTAATGGACACTCTTGAAGACATGAAACTGATGGGTATAGAGAAAATTTTACAACTGACATAAATGGGGAAATTAAAGAAGCTTACTAGATAGTACTATTAAATACTGTAATGCCAAATGTCATCAATCTCAGGATTGTAGACCTTCACATGTCTCTGAAAAGATTTTCAAAACTAAATTCATAACTAAACTTTCTTTATGTTATTAGTATTATTCATGCTTTAATTTCTCTATATCGGTATTATTTTACATATATTGCATCACATTATCATTTTCTCTGTTTCCCACCACCTTTTGTCATTATTTTTATCTTTGTAAAAATTGGTTAAAATTTCTTACAACTGTTATCACACTTAAGTATTTTATGTACTATACACACTTCTTTGGCACAAACTAAACTTTAGGTTGTGATTGGCTACTTCTCAAGACCAACTCATATTGAACATCTGTGTTACGTGATGTTGACATCCTTGCCTATGTATTTCATCACATTCATTAAACAAAACCCTTTATTCTCCTGAAGAAGAATAGTGAACTATTTGAGAGAGCTAATTTTTTGAGTCTCGATTCAAAACCGTTTCTGTATTTATAATACAGGTATTTAAACAAGTAATAGGAGTTCCAATGGGAGCTAACTATTCTATTTGTATTGCAAATTTATATCTTTATTTCTATGAGAATAGGTTTATTGAAAATTGCATAAACCCAGAAATTTTTGCTTTAACTTACAGATATATAGATGATTTACTTAAATAATTCTGAGATAAATAATTTTATTAACACTATTTATCAGAAATAGAAAATACTTCAATTTCAGATGTAAAGGCACATTATTTAGATCTAGAAATTAAAATAATTGATAGTGAAATCCATCTAAATATTTCTGATAAAATAAAATAATTTTCTTTTGCAATATACAGCTTACCCTCTTTTAATAGTAATGTGTCATACTCTTCTGTTATAAGTATTATAGCTTCACAATTATTCAGATTTTGTAAAATTTGTAATATATTACAATATTTCATTATTAATTTTGAAATATTGATGCAAAAATTAATATTCAATGGATTTAATATAGACACTAAATAAAAATATTTGGGAATAAATATCAAAATTTTTTTGTTGGGTTTGCTATGTTCATTTAAATGTCATTTATCACAGGTTTGGATTTGCTCTTTTAAATGCAGTCTTTTCTTTTGATTTTAAATTGCTTGACTGTTTAAGTATTAATTGTATATATATATATATATTACATAGACTTGTTTGAATTTCAGAAATCTACAGAACCTCCTGATCCTCACAGCAATTAAAGCTGATCGAAGTCGTGTTATGGAATATATTAATCGTCTTGACAATTACGATGCACCTGATATAGCAAACATTGCCATCGGAAGCGAACTATATGAAGAAGCATTTGCCATTTTCAGAAAGTTTGATGTGAACACTTCTGCTGTCCAGGTAACAAAAATAACCTGTATTTTATTGGTGCATTATTGTTAAAGTAGGAAGATAGATGTTTCTTTCTCTGTTAACTAACTCTCATATGGGGTGTAGTGCAAATGCACCATCAACTTTTAAAAAATTGTGCTGTGCACTACCAACATTTTTGTGTTTGTTCCCAATGCTGTTTCATTGCTTGAATACTGTGTTAGTGTATTTTCACTCTCCCAGTTGACCCATTGCAGTTATATTACACTAGTCATCCATATATTTCTTGGAATTGTTATTGGTTGAGGCTAGCTACTATTTTGGCCAATTGGGAAGATTTTTATCCATCCTAAACCTTTTATTCCTAAGGCAATAACTTGGTGAGCAGCTAGTGCAAGGTATAGAGGAATTTAGTTTTTGTAATTCATTTAACCCTGGTGCTCCAAATATCCTTTACTGCACTATTATTATTTTGTTTATGTTATACCAATTAGAATAGCATAAACTCTTAGCTAATAATCTATATTTCAATAGTATACAAGTTTTAAGTTCTTAATTCTACAAGAAAATATTTTAAAAAATCCTATATTTCCACTAGTGTGACCCACTTGACATATTTTCTCTTAGCACGTCATCATCTTTATTTTATCCACCACCCATTGAAAAAGTATGAAATTAAATGTAAATTACTCTCTATAAAATTTTTATTGCTCAGATGAACCATAATTTTTATAGTCTTCAATTTTATTTGGTTACGGAGCTGTGGAATAGAAAATCGGACCCCACCTGTCACATCCTCTCTTTCACAATTCGTTGATAGTTCTTTCTTATGTTTCATTATATACTACATATAACCAATAGAAAGTCAAGGTTTTCATCTATCAAATGATGTAATGTATAACGTTGTGTTCTGAACGGTTAAAAATCAGTTTCATTCACAGTACGAATATTGTTCCTGTGGGAAAGTTAACGACCAGCTTGGATGAATTTGTAACGACTCTTGTTAGAAAGCCAGGAAAATTTGAGAGGTTTTTAATTTAATTTAATAAAAATTATTAAGTGCATTACTATCTATAGTATAAAAATTAGGGTTAACTCTCTTTGAAACCTGACTGCAAGAAAAAAAAAGAGATTGGTTAAGTATTTCATTTCTTTTTTTTCATGTTTATTCTTTATGTATAATTATAAAAGTAACTAAAATATAAAAATATGGATCTCTTAAGTTATTTAAGACAAGATTCAGTGAAATAAGTAATAATAATATTTCCTGGAATTGTCATTGGTTGAGGCAATAGGCTAGCTACTATTTTGGCCAATAGGGAAGCTTCTTATCTGTCCTAGACCTTTTATTCCTAAGACAATAACTTGGTAACTTTTGAGTAATGTAATTCGATAGCGTAACATGACCTGCACGTTCTCCAAGTGATTTGCAACTTATTATGGTGCGTATAGTAGTTAGACACAGTTCAAAGGCTATAAAACAATAAAATTTAATTATAAATAGATGTATACTGTTATGAACTTAGAGCTACTTGGGATAAACGAATGTAGTTTCAGGTTACAATTTGAAGTCATTCTAGAAAGAAAAAAGGGTAATTTAGGTTTATTTAGATTTTTTTTTGTGGTTACGAGGTAGATTGATTGATCCTGTTTTGAGATAGGGTAGAAAAAATAACAGATAAACTATAAAGTTTTACTGAAAAAAAAAACGTTTGAAATGCATTTTGGAGGTTTTAGGGATAACACAAAGGTAATTTGAGATGAGGAAAAGTATTTTTAATTTTAACATTTTGCACAAAGACTATTCAGAACAAATACTCAATATATTCATGGACAAATCTTTATTTTGTTGAAAGTACTTCACTAAAACATATGATTTTTTGTATATGAACTGAAAGACTGCCAAATTTTATGAAGATATACACACCATATTGAGAGCTATAAGTAGTAAATATATAAAGACTTTAAACGGGTACGAAAAGGTCACGTGATCGGTCAAGGTAATCGAGCCCGTATCAATAGAGTGATTGAAAGAGTGAAGTTTTATCATATAAGACTTTTAAGAATTTTACATTAATGACATTACTTTGTGTTTTATTTACTACTTTTATTAATTAATTCAAATTTATGAATTGTAGAACTAAAACAAGTGTGTAAATAATTTTTGACATTTTTTTTAAGAAGGGTAAAAATGGTCATTTTATAAATTGAGAAGGCTTGTCCTTTTATTGAAAAAGCTTTTGACCTTTAGTATTTCTCTGACAACTTATAAAGTAATTGAGGTAAATATATTAGTTTAATTTGAACACATTTTAATCCTTTAAACACCTTTCTGTGCAAGTCACTGAGTAACATTCAAAATTTAATTAACTTTCTATCAATGTATGTCAATGAAATTAACATCATAATGTATGTTACAATTCAAAGTTTTATGTTATCTAAGTTTTAATTTCTTTATTTCAAGAGAAGCCTTTAAAAAATATTTGAATTTTAGTTTTTGCTTCACTTATCACATGTGCATTCATAAATCTGAACTTTCACAATATATTAACTTGAACCAGTAACTAACTACAGTGTGCGTAGATGTATGTCTAGACAAAAACTACATTTACTGAGCTATTTACACGTGCGTTTCAAAGCTCTTTGGCTAAGTTCAGTTGAAACTAGAGAGAAATTTTTCCAACCCCTGACAGATGTAACGCCTGCCTTCTATACACAGCCACATGTACTTAGTTGACACACATGTTTATGATCATTAGAAAGACCTCATTTGACATTATAATCCAGTAGTAATTATTTTGAAATTGGTGCTCAATTGTCATCACCGGGTAGATGTAATTGTTGATAGTATTTTTGGCTGCTTTGCCCACGATAGTACTTAAGGTTGTTTTTGACCTAAGAATGTTATAGTTAGAGAGAGTTAAATTGCATTTAAGTTTTACTTTTATATCTTTGTTAATCATGTATTATTTATGTTTTAGAATGCATAATTGAATTAAGATAATATCATTCTTTGTGTAAAAGATACTTACAATCTTTGAAAAAATCTTACCAGTTTTTGTGAGGATAGGTTAAGAAGCTCAAGAGTTACTGTATGTATTGTTGCACAATTATCCTTCCCCAGTCAGGTCCTGCATATTGCAGGAGACTATTGCAAAAGGGTTAAATCAAGGAGATCCTCAGATTTCACTTTAAATTATAAAACCCTTCAGCTTCTATTAAGGACATAAGCAGAACCTAAATGTTCGTTCACTGTTACCCATCATGAATGGTGCTCCATCCTATGCATGCCCTCTTAGTGCTATTGAGTGTATTGCTAATTACTCTTATCTGACTATCATCTAACAAAACATTTGCACAAGAAGTCTTTATATAGTATGAAATACCACATTCAGTAAAAATTTCTGAAGAGAGAAGAGGCAAAATAACAGTTTTGGTGATGCTGCTAAAAAGTTTTTTAACAACTCATGATGTAAGGATATATTTAGTGTAAATTCAGTTCTTTTATAAACCTGTAAGTAAGAAGTTTCAGCTTTACAACCTATACTGTAATAAGAATTTGAAAAACACGTAAATGTATAGAAAGTTTGGCATGAAGTCATAAGTTAAAATTGAAGTTTCTCGTGGTGTTTTAATGTTTGATTACACCTCTCTATTGAGTTATTTGAGATTGCTGCTTCCAAAATATACTTATCTCCGCTGACATTATAGCTATTCTCAATCTCCAGGGTTTCCACTCTTTTTCCCAAATAAGCATTGAAAATGCTTGTTCTAATCTTTTATACCCCACTTGAATGCCCTTGGCAAATTCTAATTTGCAAAATTCTTCACCAATTTCAATGCGCCTTCTATCTAGGTACTGTATACAACCACCTCATTCAGATAATATAATCACTTTTTATCGACAAAGCGTTCAGCACGAGTTTCTATAAACAGGAGTCTTGTGATTATTCACAATTTACATTGCAACTTTGAATGTAGTTGGCATTACTATGGTTATATCTTTGTTTAAATTTATAAGTTAGCAGAACAACACTCAGATTCTCCTTTCAGAAGCCACAAAAGTAGGCTTCCTTATCAGACTAGAGAAATCTATTCTGTCGCTGATGCAATATGTCGTCCATCAGGCTATAAGCCATGGAAAGAGCCGTCAGGCTTTTACTTATGTTTCCTCCCACTGCATGAATGTTTCTCTCTCTCTTTTGAGGATGTGAGCATCCCTCAAACCTCTCATTTCTTTGGGAGAGCACATATGAGGTCCCTTCAGTGGTCACTGCATGACTGATGGACCATGAATTCTGATCCTTTGGATTATCCTGTCTCATTACTCAGGAGCACTATAGTTAATTACGGATGGTGGTTGAATCAGAACAACATTACTATTGGGGTACCAATTCCACCATCTCGTACCGAAATCCATCTGTTCACAAATGCATCTCTTCAGGGATGGGGAGCTTATTTTCAAGGTCTGGAGTTCCAGGGTATTTGGATGGAAGACAAGTCTACTCTCCATATCAACATTCTTGAACTCCTTGCAATACACTGGGTAATGGTTCAAGGTCTGTTTCTTTTGAAGGCAAAATTTGAATGCTTTGTCAAAATGGGGTGTTCCATAAGACCATCTAGGTGCCTACCGGATGGTATTACCATATTATTATGGACTGTGAATCATGATAGTTCATGAGTCAAGCTAAAGGGGATCCTACCCATCCCTTCCAATATTCAGGTTGAATAAATTTGGGTTGATTTGCTTTTAAAAATATGGGGAACTTGGTTCACCTGATGCACGGTTTCCAGAGCGCTGTTCCTCAGGACTCCCCATCATGTATCCCCCCCCCAAGACTTTATTAGTGGAGCTCGAGAGTTCTTACAACCTCCAGTTTCCATTTGCAGTGGTGTTGGACAGAGGCTTTTCCTCCAGAGTGTTTGAGTATGTTACTCCACTTTTGGAGAAGAGAGTGAAGTTGGTGGCCCTCCTACTTGAGTCCCTGAATGTTTTTCCCAGATGTCAGTAGGAGTGGAACCAACCTCCGTGGGAGCGTACTCATAATTTTAGTTCAGATTTGCCACAAAGCTATTCGGTTGGGGGGCTGCATGGCCCTTCTCTTTGATCAATGTAGGTTCATATATCATTCATGGAAAGAGGTCCACTATCTCCTCATAATTCCGAATGCGAAGTGATCCCATCCTAGGTACTTGGTTGAGCACAGGTTTCACATCCTCCATAATTCCAGGGGCAAGTGGAATACTCCTTACCCACTTGGTTGGGGACTGAGGATGAACGTTCATAATTCCAGACCAGATGAGTTCTGTTCCTTTGGCTGAGTACGGCAATCGAAAGTGTGTGTGTATGTATATAACATTACAGTCCAATATCCCTAGCCACCAACATCAGATGATAGGTACCACGACCCCTTAATTCCAACCCGAGTTGTGGAAACTCTGCTATCTTGTTGGGGCTGGCCTATACTGACAATTACTCATATCCTATTCCACCTTTAATACAGGTACTGAGTTTCAGGTCAAGAGCATACATGTTCTGGATGTAGTGTGTTTCCCCCACTCTTGTACCATCTTTATCTTGGAACACTCCTGTTCTATACAGACACTTTCTGTATAGTTCATGCCTGCCCTGGCCCCTTCACCTTCTCAATGTGAATTCTAGCTATAGTGTCAGCGGAGGTAAGTATGCTTTCAAAGTTAACATTTTCCTAAACTGAAAACCTTTGAAAAGTTTTTTTTGGTGTACAAAACTTGAAGATAGCATTTATATGCAGAAACATCTGTTAGCTGAGTTCTTGCACAGATCTTAAAATATAATGTTGATAAATGGAAACATTGGCACATGTAGATATGTATATCTTGAAAGTTGAATTGTTCAAAACTTGAAAATAGCATTGATAACTGGACCAATTGTTGGTTGAGATGTTG